AAGACAGGCATTGCATTGACCCTGATAGTGATGAAAGTGAGCCTGACCCAACGAATGCTAGTGAAAGTGAGCCTGACCCAACGAATGCTTTGGAAAGTGAGCCTGACCCAACGAATACTAGTGAAAGTGAGCCTGACCCAACGAATGCTAGTGAAAGTGAGCCTGACCCAACGAATGCTTGTGAAAGTGAGCCTGACCCAACGTACTAGTGAAAGTGAGCCTGACCCAATGAATGCTTGTGAAAGTGAGCCTGACCCAACGAATGCTTGTGAAAGTGAGCCTGACCAAACGAATGCTAGTGAAAGTGAGCCTGACCCAACGAATGCTAGTGAAAGTGAGCCTGACCCAACGAATGCTAGTGAAAGTGAGCCTGACCCAACGAATGGTAGTGAAAGTGAGCCTGACCCAACGAATGGTAGTGAAAGTGAGCCTGACCCAACGAATGCTAGTGAAAGTGAGCCTGACCCAACGAATGCTAGTGAAAGTGAGCCTGACCCAACGAATGCTAGTGAAAGTGAGCCTGACCCAACGAATGCTAATGAAAGTGAGCCCATACCTCAGTCTTATAATGAAACTGAATTGTTGCCGGCATCAATAATCAATGATTTAGTTGATGAAGAATCTGTGTGGCGATTTTTAGAGAGGGCAGAGAAAAGCTTTGATCAGAATGTGATTGATTATGACGAGGCCATTAAGGTTATACGCACTCCTCAGGATATACGTAACTTCAAGTTGCTACGATTTTCAGGGATAATGAAACGAAGGAACTAAACAAAGTAAGATTGTATACTATTGTCATAATACTGTTTTACAAGATTATGCAAACATTCTCCACCTTTGTATTCGTATGTTAATTACGTTGGGGGGAGGTTAATGGTGGGTGGATGAGTGTAGTGGTGTTTCCTTATTATTACACACTATTATACTTAACAATATTATAAGTCTTTGGCTAATAATAGGAACAAAGATAAATACTGATAGGCAAATGAGTTTTTTCTTATTAAATTTTTTTGGGGGGCAGGAGGGGGGGTAAGACAAGTGTTGTTTTGGTGATCATTAACTTGTTTTACAGTATTAGCCCACAATAATATGAAAATTTGGCAGAAAAATTTAATTATTGTTGGTTTGAAGATCAAACAACTGTACATCACGGGTAGTTATTCACGATAAAATAATAACTATTCACAGTACTAACTTCCAGTTTTCCCATTTTGCTAGGAGAGGGATTGAGCTGTGTGATAAAAAAAAATGATCCCTCTAGCTTTAAAAAAAAAGTTTGGTTGTTTGAACTTCGAAAAACATTAAACTTGCTTTTCTCACCTTTTTGAATTTGGCACATCACCCCCTTCTAATGCGCGGAGTGCCTCATTTATTGTGACAGTTATATGATTTTTTCCATAACCTGTACCATTTACATGTACCTCATACTGGTCTATAATTCTACCGCTTATAGGTCGACCCTGATTTTTTTACCAAGAATTCATTAATTTATGATATGCCTCGTTTATAGGTCGACCCAAGTTTTGAGGGTAATGGAACAGCAAAACCTTCACTAAAAACGCTCTACGTCCTATAAACTGAGGGTCGCCGTGCCTGAAACACCGAGCGCCGAAGACAAATCGTTTACCATTATTACGACACTTTACACTGAAACACGGGTAGTTTCAGTAAAAATATTGTATATTTCCATTCAAGTATTTATTCCAGTCAATTAGGAGGGAATACTATTGTAATACAACAGATTTTTTAACTGAAAACCATTTGAAAAGCGATTACGGTAACATCTTTTGAACAACGAAAGAAAGCGAAAATCGATTGTTTTCGTCATGGTTTTATCCCACTTTCCACTGTAATACGTACGTCATTTCAGCAAAAATATTATATTTCCGTGAGTGTATTTTATCAAGCACAGTATGAGTAGAATATCATTGTAATATAATAGTACTTTAACCAAAAACAATTGAAAAAACGAGTAACGTCTCTTGAACATCGGAAGGTTAGGTAAAGTCTTTCGTTTTCGTCATGTATTTTATCTTATTTTACATTGAAATACATCACGTTTCAAGCAAACTACTATTTATTTCTGAGAATATATTCATTCAGGTGCAGTTTAGGTAAAATATACTTGTGATGTAAGTTTTTTAACTGAAAACGATTCGAAATACACGTACCCTCTAGCCCTGTTCAAGGAGAGGACTGGGAGGAGCTGTTTGGTGCTGAAGACGATGACAAGGAAAATGATTTTGATGGATTTTAATGAAAATATTCAGAAATATGGTATCATAGTATTTATTCAAGTCAATTAGGATAGAATATTATTGTAATACAGCACACACACACAACAACATTGGCTGTTCATATGTTTTCAACTTTATTACCACTGGTGGGTAGAATTTTTTTTTTTAATTCAGAAACATTAATTAAAACATATATGAACAGTAAATAAGTGTTGCTTTCATATTCTTATGTAGAGCAATGACGATATGTTTACACATGTGCTCACTTACATACGCGATCTCACTTTTTTTTTACCATTAATTGTTAGCTACTTCCATTGTTCCATTATTAACATTAAATAACATTACTTAAAACAACCATATTAATTTTTCTAAATTAAATTTACTAAAGCTACAACCAGGGACTTATTTTCTTCAGTTTTATAATTATGTAGAACCAATCGGTCACTGGTTTTGCAAACGAGTTGTTTTTTTACTTTATTTTTCTTGTTTTTAAATAAATACTTGTTGTTTTATTTAGACATTGACATATATGTTTACATTTGCTTACCTTCTACTGTTGGAAAATATTTCCTGTCGCTGTTATACCAACAAAAACAAGAGAAAGAATGTAAACACTACAGCCACCAAGATGCTGAGGTGACCAGGTGTATAAAATGAGTGCTGTATTAAAGACTTCACCTTCTGGTACAGATTTTTTTTTTAAATTGATGAAAATGACGATTGATAAGCAGTTCTAAGTGATGATATTCAGAGAGGTGTGCGTACTTGTGCCAAGAGGGCTGTATAATTATCAAGCAATGCTTTCACTGGTGTCGGTAGTAGTAGCTACCTCCAACCGGGTACTACTGCCTGGGAAGATACAGGTAGACCCTACGCTTGTATGGCAACACGAAAATTGTGACCAAGTCCCAGGTTGCTAATCTGACTTTCTGCCACATTTACACACAGTTGCAGGGTCTCAATTGTTTGTCTTACTTTGATAACACAACATACATTTATTGTTTCTCACTCTTGATTTTTTTTTTTTTTTGCATTTCTTTATGGTTCTTTATTATTATTATTATTATTACTATTATTATTATTATTATTATAATTATTATTATTATTATTATTATTACTATTACTATTATTACTACTACTACTACTTTTTTTTTTTTTTTTTTTTCACGGGCTCCAGCCTCCCCAATAGCCACACCTTGCCACCAATTTATTTACCTTAATATTAAATATCCTAATACATAAGAAGCTATCCTATCTGTGTTAAATTAGTTGAGCCGCAGATCTATGCGGCATTCAGTGACTGTAGCCTCATAGTCAATATCTGCAGCAGTTGTCGGAGTAGGGCGGAAGCCTGCTCCCCTGAGGCAGAGCAAAGCCGATCGGGCGGAGAGAGAGGGACAGTCGACATCTCATCCAGGCTGTAACATAACTTGGGCTGCTGCTTCTGTTCGAGATCAGCTCCGCGAAGTCATGTGAGGAAACATCTTGCACTTGGGCCCATCCCACCAGAGGTTGTGAACACTAGAGGAGTGAAGCTGCCTTGATCAACATTTTGTATTCTCTCCCCGTATGCCCTTCTCTTGTCGTTCTCGTTCCTCCTATGCGCAGCATCGAGAGCTAGGCGTGACATGGGGCCATGGGATAAAAAATCCTGATGTCGAAGAAAGCTCGCTGTCCCCTACTACTACTACTACTACTACTACTACTACTACTACTACTACATTTTCGTCCCCTAGGCCCCGATGTGGGTCAGTGACCAGCCCAGGTGGGCTAATACCCGTATTTTTTTTTTTTTTTTTTTTTTTTTAGAATTTCATTTCCAAATCAGGGTGCGTCTTCCACGGTGCAGCTTCTTCCAAGCCGAAAAATACAGTAACATCTCTTGAACATTGGAAGGTTAGGTAAAGTCTTTTGTTTTCGTTATGTATCTTATCCTATTTTACATTGAAATACATCACATTTCAGCAAAACTACTATTTATTTCCAAGAATATATTCATTCAGGCACAGTTAAGGTAAAATATACTGGTGATGTAACAGTTTTTTTTACTGAAAACGATTCGAAAAAACACGTGTACCGTGATACTCAACAGCTGGTGGTGCATCGTTAGAAACACTAGGAGGTTGAAGTAGATTACGGGTATTATATTAAGTGTGAAACATCGAAAAGGTTTTTATAACCGGTATTTTTGGTAGATCAATGAGTACTGTGATACCGTATATGATATGATAAGTTAGCCTGTGCTAAGAACTTCAACATAGATTACTGAAAGCACGTTGTAAGGTAATTTAGCCTGTTGTAAGTTTGTGAGCTTCATTTGCTGAAGGCACTGCACAGCTGTTCATTACTAATTGGTACATATTTTACGTTTCCATTGTTTACTGGCAGTAAATGGTAAATATTTTTCATGTCTGAATCTAAAAGTTGCTCCTCGCCCGTCCCATCATGCACAGATTTAACCTAACATAACTATTACCCATGTAGAGGTCGACCCCCAATTTTGGGAAAAATGTGTTTAATTTACGGGTTTTTGAATTGTGTGTTTATTTTCAAGAACGTAACCCCCACGAAAAATGAGAGGTTGGTGTACCTGATTTAGACACAAGCTTTATTCATAAGTGCTTTCAGATGTTTGTATACATTTATCTTTAGTTTGGTTGTCTTATGTAATTTATTTTCTTCAAACTGAAGTTTCTGGCAGAACAGCTTATTGTTGGCTCACGGAGGCTCAAGTTTTTACAAAACATTCGAGCACTTACATGAGGCTGATGAAGACAGTGAGGGCGTGGCCGCCTGTCCACATAATTAACACCTGTATATCATCAACATCAGACCACTTCAAATTGCAAGACAATTTACCAAAAGGTGTGTTCACATATATTATATTGATAGTAGGGAAGAAAGTCAATATGTGAGTAGAGGGAATGGAGAGTAGGGAAGGAATGACAAGTGGGAAATGTATAGGAGGCTGTTTGTGTGTGTGTGGAATGGAATGGAACACAGAGCTGAAAGTGGTACTATGGATGGTTTGGACATGTGAGGAAGAGGAGGAGGATGTGATGGTAAATAAGTATGTACAGGTTGGCATTATTGTCCTTACCAAGAATATATTTTTTATATTTGGAAACTGATATTAATGTGCTGGTTGGAGTAGCGAGATTAATTTCTAATTCAGTAAACCACAATCTGGTCAAGTTCACGACTGTATCCAGTGTACTAACTAACCCCTTGTGCACAGGGTTGCCTCTGAGCTTAATAAAGTTATCTGGCACTATCCAAATAGAATATTAAATGTGATATCCCAGTGGTGAAGGGTTAAAATCAGTGTTGCCAAGCACAGTATTATACTAAACCCATTAATATAGGTGTGTTGGGTAAAAGGAAAAGTTGAGCAGCACATGAAGAAGAAAAGACAGCAAAGAGAGTTTGAATTTCTTTAACAGTAAGAAAATTTTAGGCTTGATGTCTGATTCTGGCTCACTGGCTTTCAGCTGCACTTGGATTTGACTTTGTTTCAGAAAATATTGTGTGTGTGTGAAGCAGATAACTATACAGTAGCTGTAAAGGCTTAATCCAGAAACAAAGATCATTCTTAGGAAGATAAATCCCCAAGTGGCATCAGAGACCAACAACACCCCTAAATCTTCCTGAACTTTCTTAATAGATAAAAAAATAAATTATATACAGTTGTACCCCACTTCACGATCAATAAAACCCAGAGGGTACCGTGTTAAGTGAAAACCGCCTTAAGTGAACAACAGAACATATGGGATTAATTCCAATAGAAACTGGCCCATCCCCAAACTCCACTTTTTCCGACACAATACCTATGTTCTTGTAAAAATAACATCTTAATTTTATGATGGTACATGCACATTAATACTTAAGAGAAATAGAAAATACAGTCGCCAGTTAATGTCCATTCAAATAATGGACTCAACTCCTCCCCTCTTCTCACACAACACTGCTGGCTCTCTCTCTGAAAATTTTTGGGGAAAACCACTAAAATTTAATAAATAATACCTCAAACTAAAGTTAGGATAATACAATTGACATTGCTGGATTCATGTAAGCCCAGGAATATTTTGAATACAAATGTCATATATTTTGCAAAAAAATAACATATTTACTCAGAGTAAACTTTATATCTAAAATTTATATGTCTAATTTTATAATGTTTATATTCAAAATGATCACCAAATTGTAAGAATTCCAGCAATGTAAATATATTCTGGCGGGTAATTTGTATGAATTTTATGAGCTAAAACAAATATCTTCAGTTAATAAAAAAAATATATTCTTCACAACACTATCTGTCAATCAAAGTACCCAACTCCTTCCTCTTCCAACCGCGTGGTCAGTCACCCTCCCCCACACCAATCCTCCTTCAAGAGATGTTGGGTGAAAAACTAAATTTTAACATTTAGTATTAAATAATACCTCAGATTAAGATTAGGATAATATAATTGACATTGCTGGATTCCTTTAAGACCAGGAATATTTGAATATAAATGTCATATATTTTGCACAAAAGATAACATATTTACTCAAGAGTAAACATTACATCTAAAATTTGTATGTCTAATGCAAAATCTATGATGTTTATATTCAAAATGATCATCAAATTATAAGAATTCCAGCAATGTAAATTATATTCTGACCGGTAATTTGTTATGATTTTATGAGCTAAAACAAATATCTTCAGTTAATAAAAAAAAAATTCTTCACACTGTAACAGATGGTGGTGGTCTCCCTCCCCCACCCCACCAACCGTCCCACAGATGTGGGGAAAACCAGAATATTTACCAGTAATAAATAATACCTCAAACTAAAGTTTGGATAATATAATTGACATTGCTGGATTCCTTTAAGCCAGGAATATTTTGAATACAAATGTCATATATTTTGCACAAAAAATAACATATTTACTCAGAATAAACTTTATATCAAAATTTGAATGTCTAATGCAAAATCTATGATGTTTATATTCAAATGATCATCATATTGTAAAATTCAGCAATGTAAATTATATTCTGGCGGGTAATTTATATGAATTTTATATGACTAAACAGGCAGTCAGGCAGGGTGGCGGGTTGGGGGTGGGCGAAATCTAAAAAATAGCTCGAGCGGACACTCACCGCGTATACGTGGAAAAAACCCGCGTTAAGTGAAAGTTCAGCTCTGGCGAGGCACCGCGTATACGGTAAAACGCGCTAAGTGAAACCGCTTTAGGCGGGGTAATACTGTATCTGAAAAATTTAATAATAAGAGGAAAACCATACAATATTTTCCTGATGGTATGAAATGGGTGCCAGTGTAAAATGACTAGTGTTTTTTACATTTGCATATGGAGTATTTGTTGATTATTACTTTTGGTTTTCCTTGTGATCAGGATGCTGAAGAGATACATGACACAATGGTGCAGGTACTTACATCATTGGACAAGAATTCAAGACAGGACCTGTCTGAAGTGATGGTTCACATGGCTGCCACCATTGTACGACATGTGTGTTGGACTGTAGATAAGGTAGGATTGTTCTTAAGTTTACCCTTAGTTCGATTGAATAATACTGCCGAAAAATTTTGAATTTCTTGATTGTTGTCTTAATTTATAACAATGAATGCTGAGAAGTGCAACAAGTGACTCATTCAAATTATCATGGCTCTTGCTAAATGTCGATTAATATGCCTTTTAAGTACATTTTAGTGAGCGTGTAGGGAAGATATTGATATAAATCATTTTGTCTAACAGAGCAAAGGTGTACATACAGAGGTGACCAAGATTGAGGAAGTAGGTGGATGTGTGGCTCTGTTGATTGGTGTTTGTCAAAGCCGTGCCAAACTCTCTACTGCACTAATGGACGCCATTACCCGTATTTTGACAACAGCCACCAGAGTAAGTACAGTCCAGCATGCCTTAAACTCTCGGAGGTTCGGTTCTCAAAATGGCCGCCTATAGCCAAATATGCAAATAACATTTGCTGATCAGGAGAATGAGGGGTACATTTTTCTGTGTATGCAAGAAAATATACTACAGTAGAAGTCAAAAATCCGGACTGCTTTGGGATTGGATTGGTCCGATTTTCCAGATTTTCCGTTCTCAGGCAGTACTTTTAAAATTAAAATTTAAGGAGGAATAAAGAAGAGATGAACAGGTACATTTTGATAGTTTATTCATTAGCAAATAAAGCATGCTTCATTTATCAAAACGAGCAGTTTTAAAGAAAAATAAAGTCAACACTAGACAAAAATGTAAACAAACTGTCTAATACCATGACGAGTCTTGAAATTCCTAAGCCATCCATCACTAAATGCGCACTCTGATTCAATGTTCATTTGCTCCTTAAAAGACTTTGCTTTGGCAATAAGCATCGGCCCAGAAATTGCCATACCTTCTGATCGTTTTAACAAAAAACCATTCGTGCAACACTTTATCAAGATTTTCTAATTTGGGCCAATGTAAACTTTTTCTTTCAGCAATTTTAATGTAAGGCTCAGAAGAAGCTGTGAATTCTAGAATTTTATTCGTTGCCTTTTTTATATCATAAATTGTAGACTTTCCAATGTTGTATGTTTCCATTAGAACAGCATTGCTCACACCACGTTCTAGTTTCTTAATTATTTCAAGTTTGTCACTCAATTTCAATGTGTTCTTCTTTCTCTTCACACAACGAAGTTTATCTACTTTAGGGGCCATTATTATGGGCCTGTACTCTGTACATGGAAAGAGTAGGACTCAAAATTATATACGTTGTCACAGTTTGATTGCTTGTTTTAAAGTGGCGATCGTGTGGTCGTTTGTTGTCGTTGTGCAGCTGTGGCATTCACGCATGCACACATACACACAAAAGATTTATAGTGCCTCAAATTTTACTTTTCAGTTCAAGCTAATTACAAAACTAACAAAATTAGCTACCTATAATTTACAATTACTTTTATTATTAGAATTATGTAAATTAATTTTTTAAAGCAACTCCATTCATTCACATAACCCACAAAAGCCCGCTAAATTTAAAAAGTTTGAGTTTTCGAAAAGTCCGGATTCTCGGGTGGTCCGGATTCCTGGCATCCGGATTTTTGGACTTTACTGTATTCCCTTTGTGTTCGTCCTTAGGACAATTATTTCTTTTACCTGTACAGTATAATCTGGATTTACGCGGTTTTGGTTAACGCGTTTGATCATTTACACAGTGCCTTGCCAGAATTGAAATGCTTTAATTACACGGTAAATTTGGTCATTTACACGGAGAGTAGCTGGAGGTCCAGACACGCCGCGCCATTTTGTATTAAAGTGGCCCATGCCTGACCACAAGCGGGGGGGGCACGAGTAAGGTTGCGCAGTATGTCGCTGTTGCATTATCGGTGACGTCATATGACGTATCGGACCGTGATTGGGCCACGCATCCTTACCTCCCTCCCCCGCTAGCTGTGATTGGTTCAATGTAATATGACGTGCCCTGCCACCACAGAGAAGAAGCCGCTGGCCTACCCGCATCAGTCGCATTGTTCCCAGTCACCCCGTGTATACTGTGCTCTATTGTGCCTGCTAATCTCGTAACAATGGCATCCGCTGGACCCCCACCACCACAGAAAAACCTTGCATTACCTGGACCCAGCCGCCCCAAGCCAAAGAAGATACGACTTGCCCTAAGTTACGAAGTTAAGTACAAGATCGTACAAGAATTAGAAAAAGGAACGAGACAAGTTGATTTGGCGCGCCAGCACGGCGTGAACGAATCTACGATCCGGACGATCAAGACAGATGCCACCAAGATAAAAGAACACATGAGTATCACAAAGTCTGCAGGTGCTTCAATGGTGAAGTACTGCCAGAACAAAGTGCTGCTCAAGACTGAGAATTTGCTGGTGAGCTACTTGATTCGTCAGGCAAGACGGAACATGGCTGTGGACACGCGGTCAGTTCAGGACTACGCACGTGAACTGTACGTAGCAGTGGCACGTAAGATGGGAATTGCAGAGCCCAAACCCTTCACTTCTTCCTAATAATAATAATAATAAACGGTTTATTAATAGAGTTGCAGCCGGTGGCTGAAAATATACAGACTTACATTAGATTTAGACATAATGATATAATATGCATTGAATACATTTACAGGGCTGTACAGTACATAAATCAGGAGTTGTTTATTATTTTAACAATAGATGGGATGGTGCTGTTCTTATATCTATCGGTGCAGGCTCTTATGGGCTGAATTTTGTTGTAGTGGCGTAGTGCGCGAGTTGGGTGGGGGGCTGCAGGAGGTGGCGATGGCGAGGGTGGTGCAGTAGTCCACGGCCAAACCTTACCAGTGCTTGGTGGTGGAGGTCAATGAGGGATGGCATTTCCTGGGTGGCTGCAAGGGTTTAAGAAGAAGAAGATCACCAACATTAACATTGTTGGTAAAGGAGCGAGGGCTGACCGTGTTGCGGCGAATAATTTTCCTCCATTCTTACATGACGTTATGGAGGAAGGACAGTTCACCGACGACCAGGTGTTCAGCATGGATGAATCCGGTCTGTTTTGGAAAAAGCTACCTACCAAGACCTTCATTGTCAAGTCTGCCAGTAAGTGGCGGGGCCGGAAATTGCAGAAGGAGCGCATCACGGTCTTGTTTACCACCAATGCCTCCGGTACCTGTAAGCTCAAGTTATCAGTAATCCACACAGCCCGCAAGCCGCATGCTTACAAGAACATGGACATGACCAAGCTAAATGTCCACTGGCTAACCTCACGTAAGGCGTGGATGTTCACTGCTCTGTCCCTCTCCTGGTTTGACGACTTTCGTTCCCGACGTGAAGAAATTCTGCGAGCAACAGAATGTTCCATTCAACATTTTGTTGCTCCTTGACAACGCACCAGGACACTCGCCCCTACTGTTGGATCGTCACCCCAACGTAAAAGTGGTCTTCCTTCCTCTCGACACTACGTCATTAATCCAGCCCATGGATCAAGAATTAATTTGTAATGTGGATGCTGCTTTCTCCGCAAAGAAGTTTCGGCTCCTTAATGACTTGACCAACACCAAAGGTGAGTTGAGGAACCTGGGTGACACCGATAGCGAGAGCAACGACGATGAGGAAGAAGAGTTGGCGGAGCAAGAAGTTTGCGTCATACAGTTTTGGAAGAAATTCAACGTCAAGAAAGCTGTTGATTTCTTGAGGGAGGCATGGGGCCAGCTGTCTGTGGCAACAATTCGTCACGCGTGGTGGCATGTGTTGCAAGGTATCCCAGGTGGGAGGCAGAGGCAACCTGTGACTGATGAGGTTCAGTCTGTTGCAGTGGCAGTGGACCTTGCAAGAGAAGCTACACAGAGTGTTACAGCTGCAGGCTTCTCCGAGACCACCAACGAAGACATTATGGAGGTGATCAGGGATCCTGGGGTGACTGCCGACGAGATGTTGGAAGACGATGACGTCAGTGAAGATGCAGGTGGTGCGTCAGCCCGAGAAGAACACAAGTTAACACATGGTAATGTAAAGGATGCCATCGAGTTTGCCGAGAAACTCAAGCTTGTCCTTTCCAACGACCCTGACGATCACGGCTATGAAGTCTTCAATAACCAGCTGTTGCAAACTAGGGAGCCGTCCATCATGATGTATCACGAACACATCAACACTAGCCGTCAGTGTAACATCATGGACTTCTTCGCCTACAACCCACCACAGCCACCCCAAGCCAGTGATAGTGACAGTGATGTTGACTTTGAGGGATTTGTCAGGGAGGCCCTGACAACTGTGGTGGATAGTGATGGTGATTCACCTTAGGGCCAGTAATCTGCCCTCTGCCTTGGAACCAGCCCCCATCCATGTATGCCGACCCATCTCTTCTACTAATGTAAGTGTTAAACCTAACCTAACCTAACGTATGTTAAACCTTGATTTTTTCTAACCTAACCTAACGTGTTAAACCTTGAGTTTTCTTTTATCTGGTACAGTATATTATTCTCTTATTGATATTTATCTTCTATATTATGTGTGTGTGCATACCATCATAAAGTTAAGATACTATGTTTACTACAACGTACGTATTGTGTCGGCAAAAAGTGGAGTTTGGGGGTCGGCCAGTCTCTATTTCAATTAATCCCATATGTTCTGTTATTTCATTTACGCGGGCCTTCACGGGTTCAATTGACCGCGTAAATGCAGACTATACTGTATTGTATATATATGTGTGTGTGTGTGTGTGTGTAGACACACACACAGACTAAAACAAAACACATACAAATAAATAATAATGGAAAAATCTCACAAATAATCCTAAACAAGACACCAAAATGTATTAATAATGTCAGAGTCTACTCTCAAGTCAACTCCATGCTTTGTTATTTAAGTTATAACAAAGCATGGAGTTGACTTAGGGGAAGACTAATGTTTTTAATACATTTTGTTTTGTTTCTGATTATTTGTGATAGGATTTTCCCATTATTATTTATTTGTATGTGTTTTGTTTTAGTCTGTGTGTGTGTCTACACACACACACACACACACACACACTTCCTTATTCATCTCACTAATGGTGACACAGCTGAGCAATCAAACAACCATTTCGCAGCTATATGCCAGACGCTCCCCTGCTTGACACAACCAGTCTCCCTGTTATCTACCAGCCCCCTTTTCCACTGACTTTGTAGAAGAATTTGAAGTAGAAAAACGTCTGGACAGATTGAAGTTAAATCGGTCCACTACCCCCATTGACTTAACAGTGAAACTCTACAAGTAGTTTGCCCCGGAACTAACTAAACCCCTCTGCTCCCTCATCAATTCTTCCCTCATCCAAGCAAGATGCACAGCTGACTGGAAGACTTCATATGAGTCACCAGTGCCCAAGTCAACCAGCCCACAATCCTTGAATAAGCTATGACCCATTGCAACCGCCCCAATACCCAGCTTAATCTGTGAAATTTTTGTGTTTGACTGGGCTTACGCTGATATTGCAGGCTCCATAAATCCTCAGCAATTTAGCATATGAAAACTTCCTCCACCACTCTCTGTCTTGTCAGCTTTTTCGACTATATGTACCGCCATCTGGAAAAACATCTGTGGCTGTCGCCTTCATTGACTTCACCAAAGCATTTGACCTAGTCAACCACAATTTAATCATCAACAAAGCTATCGACCTCGGGTTTCGAAGAAGTCTTATACCATGGCTTACAGACTTCCTTAGTGACCGACGCCAAGCTGTACGCTTCCGAGGGGCTGTCTTCACTTTTCAGTCACTCACCTGTGACGTCCCCCAAGGCACCAAGTTGGGACCGCTCTGCTTCCTTATGCTTATCAATGATGCCCTAAGAGAAACCTCTGCTCCCTGGAAATATGTCGACAACTCCACTATTGATCAGTGTCACCAACTCAGCTCCCGACTACACGGCCCTCCAGGATTTATTGAACAGTCTCCAAAATTGGGCCACCAAAAACAACGTCACCATTAACCATACCAAGACCATGGTTATGCACATCATCGTCTCCTCTGATGTTGTTCCATCCCTTTCCATTTCTTTAGGTCCCAACACACTCCAGGTTGCATACTCCACTAAGCTCCTCGGTGTCACGATAGATAAAAAACTAAATTGGAAAACACCTGTCAGTGAAGTTGTCAAATCCTCCAGTTTCCGTCTTCACCTCCTCCGCCGACTCAAGTCCCTCGGAGTTCCTGCGCCCAAACTCCGTGTTTACTCAACATTCATACTTCCCAAGATCACCTATGCCTCCCCTACCTGGTCTTCCTCCCTAAATGCCACTCAACGTAAACACCTAAAAATGTGCAAAAGAGGGCATGCAAGATTATTCTCTCCCCTTCCTGCTCCACATATCAAGAAGCACTCAACACACTGACCCTCCCAGCTCTCTCTGACCATCACCACGACCTCACCTGCAAATTTGGGGAGAATCTTCTGCACCATCCTTTACGCCAGCTCATACTACCACCCGAGACCCCTTGTCCGTGAATTGCTGTTCGATACCACAACTGCATCCAGCCCATATGATCACGTACTGATCGCTATAAGAACAGCCCAGTCCCAACCATTGTAAAAAAATATCAACAACTCGTAAACAACCAGTGTGTTCACTCCCAGTCATTCTTACCTTTTTTGCACTGTTACTATGTTGAAATGCCCTGTAGTATGACCTCCCCACCTAGTTATTATATATCATATTTGTATCACATGTGTTACTTGTATATTATTTGTCAATCAAGAGACCCATTCCCCAATCATGTAACTGTATATTTTCCGCCTTCCAGCTGCCATGCTCTTTCAATAAACCAGTAATTATTATTATTATTATTATTATTATTATTATTATTATTATTATTATTATTATTATTATTATTATTACACCCACACACACACAATAAATTATGGGAAAATCCTCTCACAAATAATCAGAAACAAGACAACAAAAGTATTTAAAATATTAGTCTACTGGTACCCTCAAGTCATCTCCGTGCTTTGTTATAACTTTAATAACAAAGCACAGAGTTGACTTGAGGGAAGACTTACATTTTTTATAAATTTCCGTTGTCTTGTTTCTGATTATTTGTGAGAGGATTTTCCCATTATTATTTATTTGTACACACACATACACACACACATATATTCAATACAGGTAACAGAAATTGCTGTCTCTAGAACAAATGGCTCCTTGTCCCGGCCGTGAAAATGTCAGCAACTTTAAAACTACCCATAGACATTCTTGGGTACATCCAGGGTGTCATCCACGAATAACCTAGGTCCGCAAATTAAAAATCTGCTAATTGTCAGGGCATGCTGCACTGTATTTATTTTATTTATTTTTTTTTACAGCTCAGAAGTGTGTATTGTGATAAATTCACGATTTCTGTATTTGTAGATAAACATGTGTAGTCACTTATTTTTGTGTACGTCAGTCTTATAGTTTCTCTCTCCAATTTTTGAGGTACCTTATAAGACATAGACAAACTATGATAGGTCTGGTGAAAAATTAAGAGCAATCATGTAATGATTCTTTTACATATGGTTGTCAAATTTTTTACCCCAGATCAATTAATTTGTGATTCACAAATATACTGTAATTGTGTGTAACATGTGCAATTTTTTACTGTTAAGCATTCAGTAGTGACCCATGTACCTGTATATACAGTAAATAGCTTGACCCTGGGCACAGAAACACACAGCAATAAGATGTTGTTTGTATAGCAGTATGCATATAATAAAATATTTTTCACTTGTGACTTTAATATAAAACAAAACATTATTTACAGGACATCACATCTCTGCTTGCTATATCATACCTTCTCAAGATTCTGGCAAAAGACAGTGGGAAAATATCTCGATACAGCCTGAAGCAAGCTGTGATAGCTACTGACAGCATCTTCAATCAGATTGTCCTTCCTCTCAGTCTTGATGAAGATGAGGAGAGTAATATTGCCCTTGGTTTATATGAGTAAGTATTTTTGGTGTAAGGTTCAGTTTTATCAATTGCTTTGTTATGGTTCTTCTTTACCAATATTTAGAACTGCACTTTTTTGGTAATACAGTACATCCTCATATAACATCGTCCTGCTTAACGTTGTTTCGGTACTACAGTACGTCGCTAAACTTTAGAGACCAAAAATTCTTTTAACGTCCCGGGGATCCGATACTACGTCGTTTTGCGTCGTCATGGACTACTTTCTACGGCGCATCACTCGCTCGTCTGGCCACGCTACGCTCTCTCGGGTCAGCGCGCTGCCCTCACTCACAGAACATCACAGCGTCCCCAAGTGATGCCAAGCCGGTCTCTGTTCCGACTTCACATCATTTGTGTGTGCTTAAGTGCTTTTGCTCTAAAACTGTACTATAACCATTCAAAATGGCTTCCAAGCTCCCATCAAATGCTACTCATGCTAGTGTAGTGAAGAGGCAATGTAAGAACATTACCCTTGAAACGAAAATGGATGTATTAACCCGATTTGAAAAGGGGGAACGTGCTGTGGACATAGCCGCTGTGCTATTTGGACCACTGCTGGCAATATTAAGGTTAGTGCTGGAAGTGGTACTACTCTCAGTGCAACTAAAACAACTCGTATTAGAAGTACTGTGATAATAAAAGTGGAAAAGATACTGGCTGTGTGGATGGAGGACTAGAATCAACCCAATGCGCCTGTGAGCCTTACAGTTATCCACCGTAAGGCCAGATCCTTGTTTGACGACATAAAGGAAGAAGATGGTGAAGGATCGAAGGAAGAGATTTTTACGGCCAGCCGTGGCTGGTTTCAACGATTTAAGCGCAAATATAACTTCCACAATATTAAGATGACTGGTAAAGCTGCCAGTTCAGATATGGTTGCTGCCGAGACATAACAGCCAGAATTCGAGCGGATTATCCTGGAAGGAGGATACTTATCGAAGCAAGTCTTCAATGTGGATGAGACTGGTCTCTTGGAAGAGGATGCCTGAGAGGACCTATATCTCCAAGGAGGAGAAAAGAGCACCTGGTTTTAAAGCAGCAAAAGAACACTTGGCTCGAATGCTGCAGGCAACGTCAAACTGAAGATGATGTTGATTTTTTGCGCTGCTAACCCACGGGCTCTGAAAGGTTACTCTAAGATCACCTTCCTGTCATTTACAAGGCAATCAAAAAGGCATGGATAACCGGCGCCATATTTAGCCAGTGGTTAAACGTGTACACCGTCCCTGCAATGAAGGAATACTGTGCCAAGCAGAACCTTGACTTCAAAATTCTTCTGATCGTTGACAATGCTCCAGCTCATCCTCCCAATCTCGATGACTTGCATGACATGACAGTGTAAAAGTTGTATTTCTGCCTCCCAACACGACAGCGATGTAATAGCCCCTGTCTTATAGGCAGAAGTATTTATATAAATGGCTTAATTACATTTGATTTATATACTCTATCACAATCTGTAACTTTCCACTAGCTGTGAGGTAGCATGTTCAGAGCACGTGATAAGGTGTGCCCACGGGAAGTTGTGTCACTTAGTGCTGAGCTAAGGCATTAAGCAGCCGTCTTTCTGGCCACCTAATGCAGCAGTAGTTTTGATATCCTTGACGAGAGGAAGACATTATTGAGAGCCATCATGGATGGTTCCGTCTTCCCTCGAGGGAGGTCGTATATTTCCGTAGCAGAGCTATTTAATGTAGCCTCCGTCCTCATTTTAACATGCATAGCTACAGTGATTAAGTTACGGTGATATACACCTGAAAGTGTCATATAACTCTTTCTTAATAAATCAACAAAGGAACATATTGGATTTCACTTCAGAAGGTCCAATAAACTTTTATCTATATTTTAGTATGTTTAAAATATAAGGTAACGTGCTTCTCAAGTGATTGTTACAAGTAGTGACAACCCAGGAAGGTTGTTACATATATGACAGTTTCACAAGTAACTGTTATATCACACTAACAGTCATCTCAACAGATACACAGTTGGTAAAGGTAGAGATATTATGTTTTCCCCATTACTGTGGCATACTGGTACAGTATATAAGAAGCAATTGTTACATAGGCGACAGCCTATGGACCAAGGCGTCATCGCCGCATTCAAGCTGCTCAAGGCTACAGACGGAGAACACAAACCCACGATCCGAGAATATTGGCATGGCTTCAACATTCTTCATGCAAATGACAACATTGGCAAGATATGGGAAGAGGTTTCAGAAAGTTGCCTGAATGGTGTGTGGCGTAAACTGTGACCCGAGTGCGTCAACAGTTTTACAGGATTCACGGACTTCATCCCAGCTGTGAATAGGGATTTCCTCAGCCTGGCTAGATAGGCAGGCTTTGATGAGCTGGAATCAGAGGATATTGAGGATGTCCTGGCATCCCATACAGAAGTGCTCACCAACGAAGATCTGCAACAACTAACAGAACACAGTCCCGCTGAAGACTAAGACGACGGAGAAGAACCTCAACGAACGCTAACTACCAAGAGGATGTCAGAATCGTTCAACATGTCTCCAGCAAGCATTGCAAATCCTTATAGATGATGACCCAAACAGAGAACGTACAAAGCAGTATTGAGGACATTCTTGGTTGTTGCACTGAGATGTATAAGGAGAAGAAGAAGAGTAGCACCAAGCGGTCAACACTTGATTCATTTGTTCATCGCAGGGCGGCAGAAGCAGCTTCTTCACAACAGCTGGGAGCCAAGAAGGATCAAACTTCAACGGAGGAGGAGCAAACGTCAACGGAGGAGGAGCAACCAGCGGTGGAGGAACCCCAGTCAGCGCAGGAGGAGGAGGGAGCCGCAGAGTCTCAGTGACTCACCACCCTCCTCCTCTCTCGCCCGCCTCCACTCTCGCCCTCCTCCTCTGCTTCACTACCCACCACACATTCGCCCCACCACCTCCACCCATTGGTGGGTACCAATACAAACTTAATATATATCTATATTCTATTTTCAATAGTGGCAATGATTTTCTGTACAGTATATGTAATGTATTTCATGGAGCAAAGGAAGGCTCGGGAACGTAACTCCCGTATTTTATCTATTTCTTATGAGGAAAATTGATCCATTTAACGTCTTTTCATATAACGTCACATTTTTAGGAACGTAACCCTGACGTTAAGCAAAGACTTACTGTACTGTACTTGAAAATTTACAACTGATAACGGCTATAATTTAAACCTTGGGCAAGATCAGGTTGATGAAAAATATATTAAAAAAAGGGAAAATTATTTTCAATTGTGCCTGACAAGAAAAAAGTTGGCAATGAATTTTACTTTAGAATTTTATACTGCATTAAACAACAGTGGCTATGTGAACCTGAACGAGTTCAAGACATAAATTTAATACCTCATTATTATATCTAGTAAAAGAACTTGAGAGAATGAAATAAGTTAGCCATTAAAGTGTTCATGAATAAAAAAATGTTAGTTAAGGATAACATATGAAGCCATGTGTATCACATTTTCTAACCTACAGTAAACAGTATTTGGATTATGAATTTTTTTTTATTCCCTAATGACCATCATATCACTCTCCCTCCTGTCAATCCTTCCTTCCATTTTATTTATTACACATGTTTTTCTTTTGTTTAAGAACCCTAATGCAATGTATATTATTTTCAGAAAATATACCAAGATGACAGGTGATTATATTAAGGACTTGAAGAGCTCGTTGGGTGTGCTGTAATGATTCTTCATGGACACAGACCTGTATAATTTCTTGGAACAAAATTAGCTGCTTTTTATACCAGACAATATGCTTAATACAGCTCCTCCCCAACTTACGACTGGGTTGGGGACCCAAATCCAGGTCGTAAGTCGAAATGCTTAAATAATACATAGAAAATCTAAAATGGGTGTCTCTTTTTCTTCTCAGCACCACAAAACACTCACTTTTATGATTGTCAGCCATTTTAAAGTGAATTACAAACGAAAATTTTTGTCTATGTACTGGCTTTGAGACTCGAAAATATGTAATTTGACCAAATTTGGGTACGACTGAGGCGGGTCGTAAATGAGGGTGGTCGTACGTCGAGTAGGTCATAAGTCGGGGAGGAGCTGTACTTTCATTGATAAAAATGTAATATTTTTTCCCTCTTATTTTGTAGTGTATGAATTTCATTTTACTGTATAGAGGAAATAAAATTTTCTATGTTCAATGTTATTCTTCAACCAAATATCTGTTCATATACCAAGAAATAATCTTCCTAATTTTAAACATTTACGAAAAAACTAGAAAATACGGCAAAAATCAAGATAATCTAATATGTATACAGCATTTATATTTTTTACATTTACAGTACAGTGGTCCCTCGGTTAACGAGCACAATTCGTTCCAGAAGGTTGCTCGTTAACCGAAAAATTCGTTAACCGAAACCATTGTTTCAATGGGTTTTTGGGTAATTGACTCCAGCTCACCGAAAATTACATACTTACTAAAAATAAATGCAGTAAAGTACACTTACTTTGAGGTGTGTATGTAGAAGGCTCCTGGTTGATGATGATGATGATGGAAATTAGAATGGGGGTGGAGGAGAAGGGAGAAGAGAAGGCATTGGAGTGGAAGAGAAGTCACCCCATGCCGCCATTTCACCTATAAAATTTAGGCATGTTTGAGTTGGACTGTGTATTGTTTTTGACACTGGTTCCTCTTATATTAAAGGGCCAGGTCAAAGGAGAGCATGATTGATTGGGGTTGGTATTATTTAGACATTGGACCTCTAGCTTAGGGCCAGGCAAAAGGGAGTGTGTTTGTTCTGGTTGGTTTTAATTTGGATTAGGCAAGAAATGGAGTTGTTCACTGCGAGTTGGAATGATGCAGATTTGAAGGTGGTTTATAAGTTGTTCTCTCAGCACATGAGGACAGTGCTGTTTTCTTTTAGGGGGGTCGAGTGTTAGCGGGAGAGAGAAGAGAAGACGGAAATGCTGCTTTGGCATGTTGCAGGAGTGAGATGCAGTTATTAGAACAAGTCTTTTCTGAGGGGGTCGTTGCATACTTTTTCTCAGCACATGAGGACAGTGCTGTCTTTTTTTAGGGGGGTCGATTGTAATATTCAGAAATTCCACATTCCACCTCTCCCTCCCTCCGTATACCACCCCTCCCTCCCTCCACATACCACCTCTCCCTCCCTCCCTCCACATACTACCTCTCACTCCCTCCCTCAACATAACACCTCTCTCTCCATCCACATACCACCTTTCCCTCCCTCCCTCCACATACCACCCCTCCCTCCCTCCACATACCACCTCTCCCTTCCTCCACATACCACCTCTCCTCCCTCCCTCCACATACCACCTCTCCCTCCCTCCCTCCACATACCATCTCTCTCCCTCCACATACCACCTCCTCCCTCCCTCCCTCCCTACATACCATCTCTCCCTCCCCTCCACATACCATCTCCCTCTCCACTCTCTCTCCCTCCCTCCATACCCACCTCTCTCCCTCCTCCACATACCCCTCTCTCCCTCCCTCCACATACCACCTCTCTCCCTCCCTCCACATACCACCTCTTTCCCTCCCTCCACATACCATCTCTCCCTCCCTCTCATCTCTCCCTCCCTCCACATACCACCTCTTTCCCCCACATACCACCTCTCTTTCCCTCCCTCCACATACCATCTCTCTCTCCCTCCCTCCACATACCATCTCTCCCTCCTCCACATACCACCTCTCTCCCTCCCTCGACACCACCTCTCTACCTCTCCCTCCTCGACATATACCACCTCTCCTCCCTCATACCACCTCCCTCCCTCCACCTGACATACCACCTCTCTCCCTCCCTCCCTACCACTCCACCTCCCTCCCTCCCTCCACATACCACCTCTCTCCCTCCCTCACATACACCACCCTCCCTCCTCCCTTGACATACCACCCTCTCTCTCCTCCCTCCTCCACATACCATCTCTCTCTCCCTCCCTCGACATACCACCTCTCTCTACCTCTCTCTCCCTCCCTCGACATACCACCTCTCTCTCCCTCCCTCGACATACCACCTCTCTCCCTCCCTCCCTTGACATACCACCTCTCTCCCTCCCTCCCTCCACATACCACCTCTCTCGACAAGTTTTACTAACAAGGACAGTTGAAGCTTTCAACATCACTCACAATGGATCTTGAATGTTCCAACTGTAATCAGACCTATCTAAGTTTCAACAATTGCAATCACAGTTGCAATTTCAAATTGTCGTTACTAAGAAATATCTAAGTCTCCTGTTGGATTCTAAGGTTGAGAGAAAACGAAGGACTCGGGCGTCCTGAAGCGATGAGAAAACGGACTCCTCAGATGGGGAACTCAAATAAAGAAAGCAAAGGTACATGTTTTGTGAGCTATTGAGCGTAATGTGAATAGTCTGATTTTACGTTAACTGATGTGTATGGCCGTGGTCATTGCAATGCGGCTGGTTGAACGACGTTCAAAATTCGGGTTATGCGGCTGTAAGTTTTAACCGCGAGCTTAGGAGTCGTGCGACTTTTTGATGGACGTTGACAGCTGCCACTCTACTACAAACCATGATGTCATCCTGGGCTTGATCCACGCTGAGTGCTCCATAGTTTTCTTTGCACAACATCAATTATTAAAGTTTTATACATATTGACCTAAATTAATCGTGAATATATTATGGAGGACAAGGTAGTTTATATAACGATGAATTATTTCTTCGTAACGTAGAAGAGCTTATTCTCGCAACTTATCTGTTGCTTCCTCAAAACTGCATCAACTGATGGCTACTAGGCTCCGCCCACTACCGTAGATATTTTTGATAACTGCGTTCGTATTGAGGTGGTCATATACATTTTTATAACCAACAAGAGGCGATTTGTGCATACATCGCAGGCAGCTGTGTAGGGACAAGTTGCTCGCTGACAAGCTTCGTCTGCTCGGGCCAGCAGAATGCTGCTAGGCAAGGCTAGGGTAATTTTGCATTGCGTTTTGTTTAGGTTATATGAATAACCTACAACATATTTAGCTTTTGCCTGTTACTGTCTATAATTAATTGCTAGAATTACTACTTTTTTAGAAGAGTGACTCACGACAAGGAAAGTCTGTAATGTAGGTAGTCTGTTTCAGACGTGAGAGGAAACTGTTGTCTCCAGCAGCAAAGAAATCGCAAATCTAACCCTGTTTGGGAAGAGGAATTCTTTGTTATTGCAAAACAATTGGCGCTGTATTTCCTTACCTTTGTGAAAAGAATACTGTACCGTTGAAACCTCACCAACATTCACACCACAGAACTTGTGAAGGCTGGCTGCGGTTACCAAATTTAAAATTTTTGTTTCTGAAATTGCAAATCCGATCCAGGCTCAACCCTCGCATTAGTCTTTATTGTTCTGTGTATCTGTATTTGGAATGTAGTTTTGTGTAGGAGTGAGGGAAGGACTTGTAGTTTTGTGTTGGAGTGAGGAAAGGATTTGTAGTATTGTGTAGGAATGAGGGAAGGACTTGTATTATGGTATAGGAGTGAGGGAAGGACTTGTAGTATGGTATAGGAGTGAGGGAAGGACTTGTAGTATGGTATAGGAGTGAGGGAAGGACTTGTAGTATGGTATAGGAGTGAGGGAAGGACTTGTAGTATGGTATAGGAGTGAGGGAAGGACTTGTAGTTTGGTATAGGAGTGAGGGAAGGACTTGCAGTATTGTGTAGGAGTGAGGGAAGGACTTGTAGTATTGTGTAGGAGTGAGGGAAGGACTTGTAGTATTGTGAAGTTGAAGCATCTTTATTATTTATTTTCTCTAATCAATACATGTCACGATGTTGTCAAATAAAGCTTCCGAGACTCTATGGTCTGTTTCAAAAGATAAAGGCCGCTGCTTACACTGTTAAAGAGGCCAATGAATTCTATAGTAGATTTAGGAATGTACAGAAGGAACCCAGGCAGACATTTATTGAATTCGTTTACTTTATTACGAAGCTTTAGGACTTTGGAAAAATTAAATGAGCTTATGAGTCAAAATTACCTAGAGATTCAGATGCGTATTTATGTAGAAGTGACAAATTTAAAGAAACTTTCAACTATGATAACAATATTTTGTATTCGTATCTTTCAAATAAAAGTCAATTGTGATCTGGCTTTTCAAGTTTTGATAAATCTACCATAACCAATTCTACGGCTTTCTATGGGTACACAGACACTACCGTAAACCCGCTAATGGTGGTTACACCTGTTCAACTCCCGGTAAAAGCATTCGTTAATCTCTATAGTGAAAAATTAATAAGTTAGAAATAGAAAAACAGTAAAAATAGCAAGGCGATAACCAAGACGTAGTGGTGATTAATGGCACGAAATCGTCATCTGTACCTGTAACAAGTGGGGTACCACAGGGCAGTGTATTGGGCCCGCTGTTGTTTGTTTGTTTCATAAATGACATGCCTGACGTTGTACACTCCTCCATACAAATGTTTGCCGATGATGGCAAGTTATTTCGGGAAATTAAGAACCAAGCGGACTGTGAAGAGCTACAGAAGGACCTCTGTGGGCTCCAGGAATGGTCGAGGAAATGGCTGCTGAGATTCAATGTCACGAAGTGTAAGAGGATGCACCTGGGGCGTACCAACGGTAAGGAGGCGTATCATATGTCCCAACGGGATGAAGAAAATGCACTAGTTGAGACTGTGTGTGAGAAGGACCTAGGTGTGTATGTTGACAATGAGCTGAAGTTCTCGGGCCATTGTGAGAAGAAGGTAAATCAGGCAAATAAATTATTGGGTCTTATAAGAAGGTCGTTCAGATATCTAGACGGTCCGTCCCTCGTGACGATCTTCAGGAGTGAAGTGCTTCCCCATCTGGAGTACTGTCACCCCATCTGGTCCCCGAGATATGCTAGGGACTGTCAGTTGGTTGAAAATGTTCAAAGGAGGGCCACCAGACTGGTGCCTGCACTTCGGCACCTCATCTACCCTGAGAGATTGGAGCGCCTGAACTTGCCTAGCTTATACTACAGACGGGCAAGGGGGGACCTAGTTGAGGTGTATAAGCATCTCAGGGGCACTACTTAGTTGAGTGTCCTTACTTGGAGCTGGCGGATGCTCGCCCCACAAGGGGTCACAGCTCAAGATTGAAGAAGCCGCAAGTCCAGAAAACCGTGAGGGCAAACTTTTTCGGAGTGAAGGTTGTAAACTCTTGGAACAATCTACCAGAGAGTGTTGTGACGGCACCGAG